GGTAAGCCGCTTGGCAGGAGCGGCAAAGGGGCGGGGGAGGGGGGGGGGAGAGCACGGCGCGCCATAGGCCAGTTTGTCTTTTCGAGCCGGGCGGCGTGCAGTGCGTGCAGTGCGTGCAACAAGGAGGGAAGCCGTCATCCATTCGTCAGTCTTATCGAGCCGAGCCAGAAAGCCGTCGCCCCGTCGGCCAGTGTAGTGGCGAATGCAGCGCCGTCGCGCACACACACACACACACGCGCGCACACACACACACACACACACACACACACACGGACACACGCACACACAGCCCACGCGTTTGCTTGGTGCGCCTTGTGCAGGACGTCCGGCGCGGTCCACATGGGCGCGGTGCGGCGTGGGCGCGCGGCGGCGCGGCCAAAGGGCTGGCCGCCACGCCGCCACGCCAGTCCACTCAGTCCGCGCCGCGCCGGCCAGCTCTAGAGCCGCCTCCTGGCCGGCCCGCCGGCCCCGCGCCACCCTGGCGTGCCCCGGCCGGCCCCGCGCCACCACGCCGTCCGCTTGTCCCCGCCGTCCCGCCGGCCGCCACCGCTAGACGGCCGCCGTCGCCGGGCCGCCGCGCCGCCGCCACGCCCTGCCCGGCCAGCCAGGCGCCACCGAGGATCTGGACAAGATTTCGCACCGGAAACAGAGACCGAGTCGGCGGAGAGGCGCGGCGGGCGGGGCGGGGCGAGCGACCAAACAAGTGATCGCTGTGCCGAGCTCGGCGGGGCCCTGGCGGGGCCCTGCCCTGGCGGGGCCCTGCCCTGGCGGGGCCATCATGGCGGGGCGGAAGGCCAAGTCGTGCGCTGTAAACACAGACGCGCCCCCTGCGCCCTGGGCGGCCCTAGGCGGCCCCGGGAGTCAGACTCTAGGACCCTTTGGCTGACGCTAGCTGGCCGGCGCCTGTGGCCGCGCTGGCCTCTTTGGCTTGGCGCCTCTAGCCGTGACGCAGTACGCGCCCTGGACGCCCCCGCGGTGCCGCACTAGCCGCCGCTGTCCATTGCGCGCACCGCGGTGCCGAGTCAAAATTAACTCCGGATAGGCGCGCGCTGGCCAGGGCCGGCCAGGGCTGGCGCGAGTAAACTGTGGGCTGCCGGCCGGCGAACACGACTAGCACGGCCAGCACGGCAAGCAAGGGGCGCGCATCGATGACGCACTGTGCATCGTGTTTATCCGCGGACGCACTGACTCACACCGCGAACTGCGGCACACCGACGCGGTGGCCTTCGTGCCCTTGGCGGGCACGCCGGGCACGCCGAGCGCGGGGTTCATGCCCTCGCCGAGGACGCTGTGCGGGGCGCTGCGGTGCGGAGCCGGGGCGGACACCCCTGCCTCAAGGACGGTGCAGACCTGGTGCGGACCGTGCGGACGGCCCACAGTGGGCCAGAAGACCGGTAGAGACGGACGAAATTCTAGACGCGTTTTGAGCTCCAGAGTCGCTAAATGGGACTCGAACCGAGCGTGTGACCCCACCAATGGATTCCTCGTTCGGAGAGCAATCCATTGGTGGGGGTCTCACGTTCGGTTCGAGTCCCAAAACGCGTCTAGAGTTTTGTCCGCCTCCGCCGGTCTTCTGGCCCACTGTGCGGCCAGCGGGGACGGGAATACGTAGCGGTTCGTTCTTTTCCGCGCGTTTTTTTTTCGGGGACTTGGTTAGAGGCGCGCGAGTCCGGAAAAGCCCATCGCCCTCGAGCCGCTTCGCCCCGCCCCACCCCACCCCGCCCCGCCCCGCCCCGCCCCGCCTCGCCCCGCCCCGCCCCGCCCTCCGGCTTTGGCTTTCCGAGAGCTCATTGAGGGCCGCGCGTGTCGACCACAATGAAGGGCTCGTTGCGGCCGGACGGTAATTGCGAACGAGGCCCTCGGGTTTTCGGAAAGCCCGTTGAAGGAAAAAGCCAGCAGTGCCGTGGCAGTAGGCAGTGGCGTGGCCGGCCGAGGCTTCCTCGAAAAGTCATTCACCCAAGTATAGCGCGCTATCTCTCTCGTGAGCTGGGAATTTCATAGGTAAGATAAGGCGAGCATTGTGGATTGGAAATCTCCGGCGGGGAAAGAGGACTCCCGATTCGATTGAGCGTCCCCTGGCTGGAACCCTGGCCGCATTGAATCCGAGACCGCAGTGCCGCAGCGCCCGCAATGCCACCTAAAGATTCCCGCGTCGATACACCTTCGCGTGTGCGGCTGCAGCCGCAAGCACGCGGTGCATTGAATACATCACGCTTTTCGAGAAAGAACGCCCGTGATTTATTCAAACCATCGTGCCTCACAGTGGGCCAGAAGACCGGTGGAGGTGGCCAAAATTCTATACGCGTTTTGAGCTCCAGTGTCGCTATCTGGGACTCGAACTGAACGTGTGACCCCAGCAATGAATTGCACTTCGAACGAGGAATCCATTGGTGGGGTCACACGTTGGGATCGCCCAGGATTTTGAACGCCTCCACCGGTCCTCTGGCCCACAGTGCGCCTGGCCAAAGTGGAGACTGCCGCGCTCGAGGACAAGCTCGCCGCCGGGGCGGACAGGACAGGACAGCGTCGCGTCGCATCGAGGAGCACGAGGAGTCCGTCATTGCGTTATCGTTATTAGCGATACGGGAGACGCGGCGCAGCGGAGCAGCGCAGCCTTATCACCGACTCACCTTATGCAGGCAGCTCGCACGGCAGCGTGCCACCATCACGGACTCGCCGGACACGTCGGCCGTGCACTCGTCCTGCTGCACTCCATGGAGGCCCTGGAGTCCTCGGCCGGGCTCGCTGGGCGCGCGGAGGCGCAGGGCCGCGCTGGCGGGGCCCGCGGCCAGGACGACGACGAGGAGCGCCAGGGCGGCGAGCTGCACGCGGTTCGACGGCATCCTGGGTGAAGACGCTCTCGGGGCGCTTGGGGTGGACGCGGCGCGACGCGCTCGACTCGGTCTTGTCGGACTGCACGGCGCGAGTCCTGAATGGCAGTGTGCACTCCACCACTCCGTGTGCACGCCGAGCCCGCCGTGGCCGTGCTGTCAGTGGCAGTGCCGTGCCGGTGGCCGGGCCGTGCCGCCGGGCCGGCCGGGAGCCGTGCGCCCCGCTGCCCCTCCTACCCCGGCCCCGGCCCCGGCCCCCGGCCCCCGGCCCCCGGCCGGTGCCCCTGCCCCTCCACCAGCCACCGGCCCGCCGTGCGAGAGAGACAGACTCCCAACGGGCAGGCGAGGGGGGAGGGGGAGGGGGCTCGTCCAGGCTCGGCCTACGTCGGCGGTGCGCCCTGCTCTTCCCGAACGATACCCCCTCCCCTCCCCTCCCCTCGCGAGGATACACCCCCGCAGTGATTCCCCCCCCCCCCTTTCACCTGCACCTCTCACCCATCTCGCCCATAATGCATCGAGAGGCTTTTGGGCAGCGACGTGCCGAGAGAAGCCACACCCTTCCCCCTCTCCGTCGCAGAAACTAATGTTGCTAAAAATCATGTCGATGCGCGTTTGTCTGGACGTCTCTCGATCGCATGCAGACCAGAATGAAAATGCGTTTGGGCGAGTGTCGATTGGAAGGCGCATTGTTGACGAAAAGTAGGAACGTCACTTCGTGTTCCAAATCACATTCCATCGACATTTCGTCAACATTTTCTTCCTTTATTTTTCGGAATGAGACGAATATAAACAATGCTTTGAACTCTTCTACGAAAGTCATCCAGTTCCCATAGCAACATTCACGACTTCCCTGGTTATATTCGGTATTCGGAGCACAGTGGGCCAGAGGACCGGTGGAGGCGGCCAAAAATCCAGGCGCCTTTTGGCCTCCCAAGTGGCTAAACAGGACTCGAACCGAGGGTGTGACCCCGCCAATGGATTCCTCTTTCGAAGAGCAGTCCATTGGTGGGGTCACACGTTCGGTTTGAGTCCCGTTTAGCCACTCTGGAGCTCAAAACGCGTCGAGTTTTAGCCGCTTGCGCCGATCTCCTGGCCCACTGCAGGGTGGGCGCTCACATCAGAAGTGCATCGCAGCCCGCCTCCTCGTGCTGCCTGGTCCTGCCCTCGCCAAAAGGCAGGGCTAGGCCCCCAGCAACCACCAGCAACCAGCCCGCTCACCGGCACCGGCGGCCCCCTCAACTCTGCTTTCTCTCCGCTCACCCCCTGACGTCACCGTCGACGCAACTCCAATCTTTTCGCGTCAAAATATTTCTTCCCGATGCGAGTGAATGAGTAACTCAGCGCGGCTCTAAACAGACCGCGGGCCGGCGGCCGGCGCGCCGCACGTACGCCAGTGCCCCGGTGCCCCCGCCGACGCCGTGCCGACGCCGTGCCGACGGCGCCGCCGGCCGCCCTGGCCCGGTCAGCTGTAAACAATTGGGCCAAAGCCTCTATGCACTCCCTCGAAAATACACTCGCCAGGTCGCTAATAGCCGCAGATCCAGAGACCGAGGGGCTTCGGCCCCGCCCCGCCCCGCGCCGCCCCGCCCCGCCCCGCCACGCCACGCCCCGCCGGCCTCGCCGCAAGCCGCAAGCACGGGCCCCACGGTTAATTGCAGCTAATGCAGCCAATGGCGACCAACCCCTTCGCCTGTGCCTGCGCCTCTCAAACAACGGCCTTCCCGGTTGGCGAGCGCGGTGGCGGGGGCAGCCCACGGCCAATCAGAACGCTCGTGTCTCCGAGCGCCTGCGAGGTAGGCCACCCATCGTGCTCGGTGACTCGGCGATACCCCGCGCGGCAGAGACTCTCGCCTCCGGGATGCTGCACACCCGGCTGCACAGCACTGCACAGTGGACCAGAAGACCGGTGGAATGGGGGCGGTCAAAATCCCGGACGCGTTTTGAGCTCCAGAGTCGCTAAATGGGACTCGAAGCGAACGAGTGACCCCACCAATGGATTGTTTGTTCTCCGAACGAGGAATCCATTCTTGGGGTCATACGCTCGGTTTGAGGCGTAGCGACTCTGGAGCTCAAAACGTGTCTAGAGTTTTAGCCGCCTGCGCCGGTATTCTGGCCCACTGTGCGCGGCACAATGTTGTGAATGGAGGGCGTGAATAAACGAGGCACCTCGACCGTCGTTCATAATAAATTTATTCTAACAAAAAAGGAACACACTTTAAAATAGCCCTACGTCTAGTCTTGCAGGTTTGTACATCACTCAATCTTATAGCTCTACGGTTGCTTACATTTAAGTGGAATGGCAAAGAAGTGTCAAAACGCAAGTTAAGGTTGCAACTCTCTGTCGTATCGCACCGCGTTCTGTGGTGTATAGTCTGACTAGCACAAGAACTGATCTGCGAGTGCATACAGTTGGACCCAGCAGGTGGGCACCTCGCCGTTTTTGCTTCTTGCCGTTTGGTCGGTTGCTTTGGTGGTCATCGCCGAGCCCCTCGCCTTCGCGGTCATCCGGGTCGTCGTTGCGGACAACGGACACGGCCTCGCCTTCTTCCCTCTGGCACTGGTGGTGGTGGTGGTGGTGCACCACGCAGCGCGCGCGGCGCTCCTCAGGACACCTCGTCTCGAACAACCGCCGGCCATCAGAAGTCGTCGTCCACGCGGGGGCCCGGCGTCAGGCTCACGGGGGACATGGCGATGGACACCTGCGACACCATCGTCTTGCTGTTGCCGTCCATGCCGCGGTCTGGAGCACCCAAGAGAAGAAGGCCGTGAATCGAAAGCGCCGCCGTTTCGCAGCGATTTCGCAGTGACTGGCGCGCTGGACCGCACCGCGCACCGCACCGCGCCCTAAGCCATGACGTGGGTGCAGCGTGAGTTCACGGCCCAATTTACGGACTGTTTGTTTGTTTGTTTGGGTCGAACGTGACGAGCCGAAGCAGCGTGTATCTGCGCGGCCCGGCCGGCCCGGCCCAGTCTGCCATGTCGGACGCTTCATTAGCTTCATTCTCATTCCCTGGACCTGCAGACTGATTCCGAGAGTCGTTTCCATCGCCCTGGCCCTCTCGCACTCGTGGGGCGTCCCGTGAAGGTGCGGAGGGAGACAGAGCGACGAGAACGACTCTCGGAATCAGTCTGCAGTGGACCACACACGGCATGCAAATCGGGACAGGGCGGGCATGCAGCCGGCGAGCGAAAGGCGAGTCTCGCGACTTACCTGCCGTCTGGTGGCACTTACTGCAACTAACCCCCACCCCCATCCCCCGAGGCGTGGCCGTTGTGGCCATTAGCTGCCGGGCCTGCGCAAAATGAGACAGTCAGGCAGAGGCAAAAGTGCAGCGCGGGCAAGATGCACTCCAGCGCCTCCAGCCGGCTGCTGCACGAGCTGTGGGTGCACACTGGATGCACTGCTACTGGGTGCGAGCGGGTCATGCGACGCGACGGTGCATTCAAGTTACTGCTACGCCACGCTGCTCTGCATTCAAAAAGCTATGTTAGATACAACGGGCTGCGCAAGAGAAGGGAGAATCACTCTGTCAGTAAGCTTACTCTCTGAATGCTACCCAAAAATTTCACGAAAGCTTCGGTTTTCATGCTTCTTTTGTCGCTCTTTACTACTGTATCTACAGCAAAATTGTGGTGTAGCATTTCGTTGTGTTTTTCTTTGAATAAATGTGAGTACAGTACACTGTGTGTGTGCCCTAGACGCACCACCGGGTGTGTCATCCCTTTCCTCGAGCACAGGTCATTCGATCAAAGACTACTGCAGTCAAAGCCCGGCGGGGAAGTCCCTGCCCCACGCTTGCGCTAGCGCCCGCCACTCGGCCGAGCCTAGCCGAGCCCAACCTGCAGTGCTGGCGGTCATCCTGTGGCGCTGCCGGTGGCAGGTGAGCACGCTGCGGTACGCCTGCCGGTACTGGGCGTTCATGATGACGTAGATGATGGGGTTGATGCAGGCCGACAGGTACAGCAGCAGGTAGCCCGTCACGTGCAAGCCTGGCGACAAACAGCGGCTCCAGTCGACTCTGTGTCTGAGACACCGCCACACGCACAGTGGGCCAGAAGACCGGTGGAGGTGGTCAAACTCCCGAGTCGGGTTTTAAACTCCAGAGTCGCTGAATGGGGACTCGAGCCGAACGTGCGATCCCACCAATGGATTGCTCTCCGAACGAGGAATCCATTGGTACTCTACAAACTGAAGTGTGTACTCAGTATGCATCTACAGATGCATACTTATAAGTACACACCTACAGATGCATACCTAGCTGAGTACACATCTACAGATGCATACCTGTTAAGTATGCATCTGTAGGTGCATACTTGGCAAGTATGCATTAGTAGGTGTGTACTTGTCACCGTATAAATGCCCAGTATCAAGTACACATCTACAGATGCATACTTGGCTGAGTACACATCTACAGATGCATACCTGCCAAGTATGCATCTGTAGATGTGTACTCAGCTTGGTATGCATCTGTAAGTGTGTACTTATAAGTATGCACCTGTAGATGCATACTGAGTACACACTTCAGTTTGTAGAGTAGGATCACAAGTTTTGTTCGAGTCCTGTTTAGCGACTCTAGATCTCGAAACGCGTCTGGAGTTTTGGCCGCTGGCGCCACTGTGCCAGCCTCCCCTTGTCGCGCACCTGGATACCGCACGTTGTGGTCCGTGACCTTGACGATGGTGATGGGCAGGTAGCAGCACAGGAAGGACAAGAAGATGGCCAGCACCATCTTGGTGATGCGCCACTCGTTGCGCTTCGCGCGCTGCTCGCGGCCCTCGCGGCCCTGCTTCGGCGCCGCCAAGGGCCCCGTGCCCGCGGACCGGGCGCCGTGCGCGCGCATGCGCTTCTCGGACCTGCATCAGAAAGAGGGCGGCCACACTACACTGTGAAGGCTGTGAACAGCACCGCCTTGTTCATTATGATAATGAGGCGGGGGATGACACGCGTCACGTTGTCGCGGTGCGGACCGCAGTGGGCCAGAAGACCGGTGCGGAGGCGGCCAAAACACCAGACGCGTTTCGAGCTCCTGAGTCACTAAGCAGGACTGGAACCTAAAGTGTGACCTCACCCATGAATTGCTGTCCAAACGAGGAATCCATTGGTGGGGTCACACGTTCGGTTCGAGTACCACTTAGCGACTCTGGAGCTCAAAACGCGTCCGGGATTTGGACCGCCTGCACCGGTCTTCTGGCCCACTGTGCGCACACGCGGACGCGGGGACCGTGACGGCCGATTAATTAACTAAACTCACTCGTGCACCACCCAGAAGATCCGGGCGTAGCAGCCGATGATGATGATGCACGGCACCACGAAGGCCGTGACGAAGAGCGCCGTCTTGGAGGAGCGGCCCGCGGCGTCCGGCCGGATGGAGCACGTGCCCAACTGCTTGTCGAAGCCAAACACTCCTGCGGAGAGGAACGGAACGGAAGTGCTGCCGGTTAGTCGGTGCGATTCCCAGAAAAATATGTTAGTTTTGGGGGGAAGCGAACCCCGGCCGCGGCCCACGCCCACACTCACCCCAGACGCCGGCGAGCGTTGGCAGTTGAAAGCCGTAGCTGAAGAGCCAGCAGAAGACGATCATGGCGGCGATCCAGCCCGTGCGGTACACGCGCCCGTAGATGTTGTAGTGGGCGATCATGATGTACCTGCGGGTTGCAGCCGTTTGGGTTACTTTCCGGCGCAAGACCGGTGGGGGTGGTCAAAGTCCCGGACGGGTTTTGGGCTCCAGAGTCGCTAAATGGGACTCAAACGAACGTGTGACCCCACCAATGGATTGCTCTCTGAACGAGGAATCCATCGGTGGGGTCACACGCTCGGTTCGAGTCCCATTTTGCGACTCTGGAGCTCAAAACGCGTCTAGAGTTTCGGCCGCCTGCGCCGGTCTGGCCGCCACTGTGCGGCGCCGCGCGGCGGTGACTCGGTGACACTCGACTCTACCTGTTGATGGTGATCATGGCGATGGACAGCAGCGACACCCCCACGTTGCCGTAGCGCATGAAGGGCACCACGGTGCACAGCGCGCCGCCGTGCGTCCAGGTGCCGTGGATGAAGCGGGACGCGGAGAACGGCAGCACCGTCACGCAGAACAGCAAGTCCGCCACGCACAAGCTGGCAGGGCCGAACGGCAGGGCGGCACAACCACACGGTTAGCACGGAAACGCGGCAAGGTCCGGCAGGCGCTGGGCCCCACAGTGGGCCAGAAGACCGGCACCGGCGGCCGAAACTCACCCCGCCAATGGATTCCTCGTTTGGAGAGCAATCCATTGGTGGGGTCACACGTTTGGATCGAGTCCAGTTTAGCGACTCTGGAGCTCAAAACGCATCCAGAGCTTTGGCTGCCTGCGCCGGTCTTCTGGCCCACTGTGCACCACTGACCTGATGATGAAGGCCGCGGCCACGTTGCGCACCCGGGGGCACCTCAGCAGCGCCACGATGGTGAGCAGGTTGCCGGCCACCCCCAGGATCATGACGAGGATGGTGAGCACGGCGGCCATGGTGAGCATGGGCCGCGAGAAGCGGCTGAGCTCCGAGTCGTAGTTGTTGACGGCGGCCGGGGCGGGCGGGAAGGCGCCGCGCCGCATCGCCTCCACCAGCGCCAGCGAGGCCATGGGGCCCACGGGCTCCTCCATGCTCCTTCAGGCAGACTTCGCGGTCCAGCCGGCGCCACTGCCTCGGCCACTGCTGCGCGATCTCCGCGGCTCGAGACGTGACTGCAGTCGGCGGCGGCCGGGGCAAAGGACACGTCAGAGGCGGCAAGTCGACGGCAAGCACACGCATGGGGACTGGACTGGCCAAGGGACTGGCCAAGGGACTGGCCAAGGGACTGGCCAAGGGACTGGCCAAGGGACTGGCCAAGGGACTGGCCAAGGGACTGGCCAAGGGACTGGCCAAGGCTGGCGACTGGCCAAGGGACTGGCCAAGGGACTGGCCAAGGGACTGGCCAAGGGACTGGCCAAGGGACTGGCCAAGGGACTGGCCAAGGGACTGGCCAAGGGGCACACTGGCCAAGGGACTGGCCAAGGGACTGGCCAAGGGACTGGCCAAGGGACTGGCCAAGGGACTGGCCAAGGGACTGGCCAAGGGACTGGCCAAGGGACTGGCCAAGGGACTGGCCAAGGGACTGGCCAAGGGACTGGCCAAGGGACTGGCCAAGGGACTGGCCAAGGGACTGGCCAAGGGACTGGCCAAGGGACTGGCCAAGGGACTGGCCAAGGGACTGGCCAAGGGACTGGCCAAGGGACTGGCCAAGGTACAGGCCAAGGTACAGGCCAAGGTGCTGGCCCCGCGCCCCGCAATGATAGCACACAACACGCGGAAACAGAACACGGGCAGGGCCGCGGGCAGGGCAGCCCCAGGCAATGCCAGCAGGCCCATTCTGAGGGGGAGGTCTCGTCGGCCTGTTTCCTTCGCACCTATACGGGATGCCCCATGAGAGCGAGTGACAGAGGGAGAGACCTTCCCCTGGCATCAGCCTGCTGGCCGGAGGTCATCCCGGAGAATGGGGCCGCCGCCCGATAGTAACCGGCAAACCGGCAAGCTTGTGCGTGACGTCTTAGTATAGTACCTCTCCTCTCGCGGACAGAAACAGAGCGAACAGCAAACGGAAGGGAAGTTTGGACTGCCGATCGCCTATTGCCAATTGCTGATTGCGAAAGGCACGTCGGGACGAGCGCGAAGGGCGAAGGGCTGCCTACCTCCCCGGCGCTCGCCCCTGCCGGCGGCGGCCGGACCCTCGACCCTCCACGTTGAGTGTATACGTGACAAGTGCACGGCGTTCAACGCGGCTCCGCCACTGGCAGTCGGTGCAGTCCTTGCATGCTGTGCACCAGACTTGAGGCCCGCGCTTCGAACAATAGCAAATGCTTCTGGCGACCGCTGCCGCCCGCCCCGCCCGCACCCGCCCTAGGACCCCCTGACCGGGTCGGAGAATAAAAGGGGAATTAAGCCCTCAGTGCGCTGCGCCGCTGCGCCCCGGTCTGCCCTGTCCTGTCTGCCCTGGTCCGGTTGCTCTGCTCATTTGTCGGGCAGCCCACAGCGTCCACAGCGTTTACAGTGGCGCGACGGAAGCTCATTTACGCATTCAGGACCTCCGTTTGCAGTGCAGTGCATCGCGTCGGCGGCGAGAAATTTCGCGCCGAATGTCTCTGGCCGCCCCTTCCACCTTGCCGCCCCGTGCGGCGAATGCGGTGCCTCCAGCAGTCGCAGTTCCCCGTCCCTCGCGGCTGCCTGCCGGTCTGCCTGGCTTTTGTCGGCACTTTGTCCCGGCCGTCGATACGCTGCCGACCATTCGATGGTTCGATTCGATAGTATCGCTCGCGCGGCATGCGGGTGCAGTAAGGGTGGATGGATGATTATGCCCTCACCCCTCTTCTTCTCCAACAACGGCCGGTGCCGGGTTCGAATTCCGTAATCTGGCCCGCGATTCGGTGCCGCTACCGGGAACAGGCAACTGGGGTCCCCGTCGCCCTCCCTTCGTTAATCCACCTCAGGGCCGCGGGCCCTGGCTGCGTCCGAACGTTGTCGTCGACACGGCGACGCGGCGCACCGACGGGCGTATGGGGCCGCGGACCGCACTTCACCTCGGACGCGTCCCTGCACCAGCGCGGAGCTGCGGGGACCGCCAGGATGTCGACGAGGACGTGTGCGGGGGGCACCGAGCCCCAGCCGCCAGATTCCGAAGGAACGCCTCATCGCTCTGTCTCTCTCACACACCCCTAAAACACCCCATGAGTGCGAGAGAGACAGGGTGACGCAGCGATTCTTCGGGGCCAGGCTCCAGGGAGCCGGGATAAGCGTGAGGGGTGTTCGAAAAAGTTGCCTGCGCTTTTCAACCCTCCAGAAAAAGTTGGTCCGGTTCGAAAATGCGTGGCGGCGCGGCAACCTGGCGGCAACGCGGGCGGCGAGACGTGTTTGCGCGTTTGCAGCGACGCGAACGTGCACTATCGCGTGTTGACCGTGTTGACCCGACGGCCGGACTATGCGACAACAGGGAACGGACGGAGAGAGACCTGGTCTCCGCGAGCACCCTTCGGAAAATGCTTCAAAGAAAGTCAAAGAAGCTGCTCCAGCCGGAGGACGAACAGCTACTACCTACACCCCTGCCTTGATGGGGGCGGAGCCGCCGCAGGGAAGTCCTCTCGAACCCCGCTCCCTCCCCGTGTCTGCCCCTCAGCCACTCACCTCAGTCACAGCCAAGTGGTCTTCCCCGATGCGCGCTGCGTGTCCACGGTGTCCAGGCTCGGGGGCGCGGCGGCGAGGGTGGCCATCGTCCTGCAGCCCGGAAGTGCGGAAGGCGCAGCTTCGCGGCGGCCGTGTGCGAGCGGCCGAGCGCCGTCAGAGCGCGTCACGCCGTCGGCACGCTGGACGCCGCGGCGGACGCGCGAGTGCAGTGCGCCTCTGGACCAGCTGTGCACTGCGCGGCCACTGCGCGGCCACGGCGGCGTGGTGGTGCGTGGTGGCGACGGGGTCTCCGGCTGCTGGTCATGCACGCCCTGTCGCAGCACGGTGCCGCGGTGCGGCGCGGGGTGCGGGCGACGCGCGGGAGGAGGGCGGGGAGGGGGTGGGGCAGGCCAGCAGCGCCACACTGCGATACAGTTCACTTTGCTCTGCTCGCCGTGAACCCCTCGACCCCTCCCCTCTGCCTCTGCCGCCCATCCAGCCTCAACAATTTGCTGGAGCGAGGAAACGCACGCATAGGGGGCCCTGCTCCCTGCTCGCCCTGCCCGTCGAGCTGTGTGTGTGCGAGTGGGCGCGAGGCGCGGATGGCGATGACTGCCCCCACCTCCCCCACCCTCGCGTACAGAGTACAGCGTGTCGCCAATGATGTGTATGACGGGGACTGCCGGTGCCCGAGGGGCCCGCAGTCCGCACTGTCAGTCCGAGTCGGAGTGCGTCGGGGAAAGCACCAAGTCATGCGAGAAACAAAGGCAGCTTGATGACTTTAAAACGGTCCTCATCCCTCCGTCAGAAAATGAGTCTGCATTGCCCTAGGGATCTTTATGATTTCCCCTTTTGCAGTTCATTATTCTACTAACCATGACCAGTTGATTAAAATGTATACTGAGCATTCTGTACTGACCATATGTAGAATTCCCTTTTAGAAAATATGGGTTCCTTCCGGTTCCTTCTTACACATGAACCAATATCAACTGTGGTAATGATTTCTTTTTGACCTTTCTCAATTTTACAGTGTACAGCCATGTTGAGCAAAACTTTAGCTATCAGGAATTGGCAAAGAAATTGACCACTGTGCAACATCTTTAAAGTCACAAGAAGACATTTATTCAACAGTGAGAAGAACAGAAGTCTCTCACAAAAATTGTCACTCCCTCTTTACATTGTGCCAAGATCGACTGGTAAACAGACAAAAATGAAGTCGAACATGCAATAAACATTGCAAATAAATACAAAGCTTGCATTAGCACAACTGACAATCTTCAGAAAAAAAATCATAAAAATAAAAATAAAATAAGGGAACAGTTCTAGCATAGACGTTAAGAAACGTATCTGATGCTCAAAGTTTAATTAATCATCCACAATATCTCTTCTCTCCATGAGATTTATCTCATACTTCTTACTAATACTGGACATACAATCTTTAACATAATAAACCACTTTCTTACCGCACACAAAAATCCTTTCAATATCAATCACTATCCAGGAACTACTGCATCACTCTTGTGTGGAAAAAAAAATTAAGTGCTTTTTCCATGACTCAAAATCTAACATTTACAACTTACATAATGAAATTGATAAACATGACTACAATTATTCTATATTACAGTAAGCAAAGAAACATGCATAACACCTTATAGAGAACCTATTTGCAATTGAGTGCTTTGAAGACGAACATTATGCTCTCAGAACTCAACGTAATTAGTAAACAAGAGAAACAAAAGTGTAAGGCAGATAAAATGAAGAAGAACAATTTCCGTCTTATGTTATTTGTACACAAGTGTCTGGGCACATCACATTTTCTTACCACTTGTCATTAAAAATTTCCGGAGGAGAAAACAAATCTTCCACATGATATGAAACATTTAAAAATTCAAATCTCTTTAAATTTTTAGAAAGAATCTAATTGAGTTTATAGTTCACACAATATCACAGCTACATAAATTATTTATTTCATTATTTTTTTTTCATATCTTAACAATGAATAGAATTTTAATTTTAGTGAGAGCGCAAAAAGAATTTACCATGAAGCTGCAAATCTGCTCAACAATACATAAGATGTAGTAATGAGGAAAATTTGCAAATCATAATATCCGGAAGAAAACAAAAACATGTTCTTCGAGTAATGACTCCAAAGGAATAACATCATAGCACAAAAGACAAACAAGCCTGCAGACGATGCAGACATAAAATTTTCAGTACAGGTCATAACTGTTGAAACAGTTTGAAAATCAGCATTGAAATCAGACTTAATCAAACAAAGTGTTTCTACATTCATGTATGGCAAAAGAAACCACATTATGTGGTAAAGACACACACAACACTAAGCATTAGTAAACTTTACAATGTCAGATTCCAGCTTTCGCAATCACCGTCCTGCCTTAATATCAGTTCCAATGAGACTGTAAATGAGTGGGAAGTTCATCCAAGATGTAACTGATTCTGAGCTTATATCACATTCAAACTAAAACCACCACCAATATTTGACCTCATTCAAACCTCATTAAATTTTAATGTTTGAAACGGTATGGCATTATTTGCCAACTAAATCAAATCTGATCGACATCAAGCAATATTTACTAAGCACAATAAAAATACTCATTACCTTAATTACTATATCACAATAGCCTTGTCAGGAAATGATTGATACTCTGTCTACAAGTAGGTAACATGATGTTGAAACACATTTTTTGTATGTGTGGGGGTAACGTATGTATTTTCTGACAACCTGACAACTACCATCTGATTTTATTTAAAACCAAATCAATAAATTCTAATGAATAACAATATGACAACAGCAGTAGGGAACAAGCTGCTGATACATCAACAACTGTAAAACTTTCAATCAAATCAAATGTGTCATCAAGCAATTTTCCACAAAACACTAATAGCCCTCAAGTCCAATGATAATCTGTTCCTGGGAAATCACAGAAAAAACAGTAGGCGGGCAGCAAAGTCAAAAATCCTAAAATTTGACTAACATTTCTACCCGAAAGAAGAAAATTGTTCAATCAGAAGGGCGAGTAAAGAGGAAGGAAAATTGAAACTGACAAATGTATATCACATGAATAACTGACACTCATGGGGGAGATAAAATTGTTCTCTTCAGTTTCTGTTAAGCCCAATATCACATTTAAAATGTTAATAAAAAGCCATTGTCACAAAAGAAACTTGATGATCATCACCAAGAATCATCTGACAGGGGGGTTAAGTAAAAATTAATCTATGCAACAAAACCGTTGCATATTTAATCTCACTTCAGTACCAACTCAAAGTTTCACCTAAAGTGAATGAATAATTGGGCAGTTTCCTCACATTTTATGACTATTTTGAATCTACATGCACCTCATCTCCACTAGTTATATTGTAGCTGTACAGCTGTTTATTTGGATATTTCATGAATTCGTGCTGGCATGGTGTGTCCAAGTAGATTTGATCAATATATAAGAGGCGCATTTTGGATGCTGCAATACCGCATATTGGTTCCAAGGTCTTTTTTAGTTCACTGACCTAAAACATAAAGAAAAAAAGCACGAATAATTAGGAAAACTACAGGGACTCAATATTAGGTGACTGAAAAGTTACAATTCTTACAGTCTGATAAACATTGATGCTTTTGATCTCTGACTTGTCACCCCAAACAATTTTCACTTTGACTCTCTTCTCAGGTGAGAGATCAATGTTGACTAGGGGGTCAAGGCGGCCATGAACTCCAAGAAGATTCCCATACCTAAAATAAGGAAGGATTGGAAACACATTAAAAATAATCATAATAAAAGTTCCTTCTGCTCGGGGTGGACACAGTAAATCTGATATTAAAGCAGCGCCACAACGCCAACCTGGCTGAGATTAGTGCCCCATGCCGACAATTCAATCATTGTCATTCCAGCCTTTTAACCGCAGCAGAGTTTGATATCTGCACATGTTTGGAAGGGGATACAGTTCCTCATTCAAGAGAGGAAGTTTAAATAATTGAAGTCTTCGAGACAAAGGGAGACAAGTTAAAATTCTGAGTTCATACCTCTCTGGACGGTCACTCTCAGGCTTTTCCATGTAAAATCTAATAAATGCTCTCTCAGCGTCTTCCCTTTCTTCTGGACTAATAACTCCTCCTCCATTCAAGGTTTGGACATTGGGTAATCTGGCGATTAGAAGTTGTCTGCGCTCATGTTCGGTGTATTCCTAAGAAAAAAAATTTAATGTGTATTACGTATATAACAAGATAAAAATAGAAGCTCAGTCATGACACTTCAAAGCTGATATTTATGTTGCTACCTCAAATAAGGGGCAACCATTGATGCGAAGACAGTGGAGAGCCGGAAAACATGAAAGACGGTCAATGTCATCCCATGATGCTATATGAGTGTTGGTCAGATTCAATGAGCGCAATTGCCGGAAAACATCATGTGATGAGTACGGTTTTGGTCCAGCTGACTCGCATTCACTCTCACATCTTCCATACTGCATAGGAGGACTTCCACATGATGAGCAAGAATCTTCAGATTCCTCACTGTCATCAATTTTGCATTTTTCAACTGGAAAATGGATGACAATATTAAAATTCACACTGAATTAGGAATATTATCAAGGAATATTCTTACTACATCAGGGCAACTTACTTGGGAGGGAGGGATCAAGAGACAGCAGGGGGCAATCTGCCAAAACAAGGGACTCCAAAGCTGGAAAACATCTCCCCAAATTTGATATTTCACACCACCGACAAATAGGATTACCTGCAAAAGTAGAAATATATTTAATCGTAAACTAGATTTAAAATGGGTGGGTAATAACAGAAATATAATTACCAGTGAAATGTAATCTTTTGATATTTTGGTGAATATCTGCTGAGATGTCACTTAACTCCACAGTGCTGAAGTCATTCAAACTTAGATGCAACTCTTCCAAGCTGGGAGAGGATAGTAAAAACAAGAGAGGTTTAAAATAACAGCAAAATATAACTTAAAAAAAATATAAAGACAGACTTTCTAATTTCTTTATATTTGCTTACTTTGGGAGTAGCTTCAGTAGCTTCTTTATTGTGCACCAACTGACATGAGTGGATATGAGTACCAGGTTGCGAAGAAGTGGAAACGGTGTGTGCTTCTCCTTGTCACACAATTCATCTGTCAGTTCCTCTGCCAAGTTGTTAAAGCTTAAATTTGCAAACTTTACTTGCGGCATGAGCCGAAGGATTGTTAGAACCTGGTAAGACAGAAAAGATGTTGAGGAAATCTTATAAATCCAATTTTAATGAACGAAACCCAAATGAATCTGATACTTACATCGCTCCAGTGAGTGATATTGTTTTGAGCAAGGTCCAGCTCTTCAACAACATGGCACTTTTTCTGTAGATCACATTCATCTCCAGCTGAGTCAATGTTACAGTCATTTAGAACCAGCAATGATGGAACAATATTTCTGGGTCCTTTTCTTGGCACGTAAATCGCTATCGGAAGACCCTCATCGATTCCTTCAACGTCTTCCGGGCCATATTTGCCCTCCAAAGCTTCCACAAGTGTTGGCATTTTTCACATGTAATCTGTAATCAGAAAACAGAAACCTGATTAGATATGTGCAGTTGACTCTGGGGAGGGGGGGGGGGGGACTTAGGATCCATCAATACAAATGTATCCCTTGACAGGTAGGAACTGAGGAATGCATTGGGCTAGTGTGCTGCCCATAAAACTACATGCTTGACGGCTGTAGCACACTTGAGTGCCTATGGCATAATAACCATTTCATAATCCTGCAGCATAGGGAGTGAGAGAGACGGAGAGACGGCGTTGGCGCTATTAAGGCATCAGGTACTACGGGTTTCTGGCGCGCGTACACTTGCACTCACTCACTCACTCACACACACACACACACACTCACTCACATACGTATGGGCCGAGACGCGGAAGGGAAGGGGGCACGGGAGATGTGCAGGTTCGCTGAAATGCATCAGTGTCAGTGCAGCCTTGAGCGCCCTCTAGACTTCCCTCCCCCACCCTTCGACCCCCTCGCCCCGTCAAATAAAACTTGTCTACCGCCCTCGAAAATCCCTGTGCCTTGTAGCGCTCGAGGTGGCGGCGTGCTTTTTGTGAAGCCAAAGTGTCGGGCGAAGCGCGAACTGGCCTGGAAGGGAGCCAGGGCACTAGCCGAGCCTGGCACCGATGCTACGCCACGCTACGCCCTGCTCGGCCTGCACCGCACCGCCGCGCCCCGCGCCACAACCACCGAGTTTCATCACGACTACTTCTCACTCTCGCAACTGAAGCCACGACACTCGCAGGGCGAGCAACAAAAAGGAGCATCGCCCGATGCGAGCCCCGCGCCAGTAAAATAACCTCACTCCAGCGGGCGGGGCGCTGCAGCCTAGCCTGCCTAGCCTGGACGCGCTTTCGCGACAGGACTCGCAGTGTAGCAGCGCCATGACGGTCCGCTCCGCTGGCGAGCGCTAGACGCGAAACAAAGGATCTTCGATCTGCGCTTGAAACGCTCCTCCGCCTGGCTTTTGAGCCACGGAAGTCCAGCGCCATTTCGCGTACAATTCTTTTGCCCCTACAGTACGCCCAGTACGTACCTTTCTACCCAAATAGCGATCGAAAACGCAGGTCGCTTCAACCAAACCTCAGGCTGTCTGTTTGTTGATATTTACACTGCGACCAGCTGGCTGCTGGCTGGCAGGCTCAGCTGGGCTGCGTGGTAGTTCGCGCGAGCGCCCACAGGTGGCGCTAGCGAGCAAGGTCAGGCGGCGGCGGCTGAGGCAGCAGTAGCAGAGCGCGCGCCTGCGCGCTGCGTGTTTTCAAATGGTCTTTCCCCATAAAACCGTAGCAAAATGTCAGCTGAAACGACCGGGCCTTATAAATTCGCCCGGATTCTAAAGATCGCGCGTTTGAATAGAGGCGCCGTTTGGCGGGGTCGGCGCCGGACAGCCGCGCTGTTCTTTCGCGCCATGCGCAGCACGACGAAAACGCGCAGCCCGCCGCGCAGCCCGAACTAGTTCCAACCAGTTTTCAGGATACTTGCAAACACAAAGTCCTCCCTAGGTGTGGCCGCTTTCGCGCTCTGGCTACGATTGCTAACGCCAGATAATGATTCGCTAGTCTCAAGCGCGGCCGAAAGTGTCAACGCGAAGGTGCTGGGAATTCCGGAATTCCCCAGTCGGCGGAGGTTAGGTCACCGCCTCCACTCGACTCTCCGTACAGCGTACATACGCCACACGGGTCATTAGCGAGAATAAATACACGGAGCCGGATCTAAGAAACTCTGCGCCCACGAGCGGACGCCGTTTGGAAATCCGTCCGTCACGACGCCGGCGACGGCATGGCGACGGATAGGGGGGCCTACCTTTGGGGGGATAGGATAACCACTTGCCCGACACCTTGACCGCGTGGCCTTGCTTGCCTTGCTTCCAGCACCTTTTATTTCTTATTTCCACCGCCGAATTCGCAAGCGCCTCACCTTGCCTCTGCCCGCGGAGGACACGATTCAATTTCGTTTTGTTTTCTTGCGGCGTGGGCGTTGGTGCCTTCCCCGACCCTGCTCAATATCGGCGGGCGCTCCGGATTGTTTACCTTCACAATTTTGGAACGATTCTTTTTTTTTTGTAATTTTTTTAATGGTGGTATTAACACTGGAAATTTTCACATCGCGGCGGGAGCGCCGGAGCCGGAAGGGATATAAAATGTGGCGGCGCGGGGCGGCCTTCCCTGCGTGGCCTGCGCAGCCTGCGCCTGCCGGGAAACCGATGCCATTGTTGCGTGTCGTCGTCGTCACGGGGGCACGACGAGCGATGCCGAGGAATCGTCTCGTCGCTCTGTCTCTCTCGCACCCCTACAGAAGGCCGCATGAGTGTGACAGAGACGGTGACGACGAAACGAACGATCCCTCGGATCGGAATGACTGGGAGGACGTGATGACCCCCATCTTCCTGGAGTCGCCACCGGTTGGTCGCCACGCCGGCTGCCTTGCTGCCTGGGCCCAGCCAGGCCGCCCCAATCACTGCCTCTGATGGGAACCACACACGCCTGCCGCCGCCAGCAGTAAACTCATTCCGAGAATCGTTTGCGTCGCTCTGTCTCTCTCGCACTTCCGGGGCGTCCCGTAAGACGCGAGAGAGACGGTGTTCTGGTCGCTCTGTCTCTTTCGCGGCATGAGAGAGGCGCCACCCTTGTCCCATCGCGTCCCGCGAGTGCGAGAGAGACAGAGCGGCGCAATCGATGACCGGAATCGGAGGCCACTGGTTTCGGCGGCAATTAGACGCGGAGCTAACTGCGCCTCGCCGCGTCCTCTGCCCGGTCCCTCTGGTCGGTACAACACTCGCGGCCGGCGGCCAAGAGCATGTGTCATGTCCCGCCAAGTTCAAGGGCGGAACCGGCGCCCGCCTGTACCGCCGTACCGCCGTACTCGGCTTGGCCGGGTTCCTGCCGGTCGCGTTGCGACGTGCCGCAGAGCAGCCCGAGACCCCCCGCGCGCCGGACCGAGCAAACTTCGACGGCCTGCTCCGGCGGCGTGCTCGCGAGGTGCGCGTCGTGCAAACTTTTGGCGCGGCCTGTCCCGGCGGCGCGGCGCGGCGCGGTGCACTCCACGGGCGGGGCGGGGCGCGACGGGGCGGGGCGGGGCGGGGCGGGGCGGGGCGGGGCGGGGCGGGGCCGCCAGGCTCGGCGAGGTGCTTGACACTCGGAGAGCACTGCACTGGACTGCAGCACGACTGCGGCGGACTGCCCTAGCGTGCGCGGTGCGGCGGTGCGGCGTGCGTGGACTCCGAGAGACGAGTCGTCCATCAAGTTGTCGGATGCCTCAGCCTCTTCCAGGTCCGCGCTGCTGCGCGCTGCGAGTGCACCGAGCACTGCAGCGCGGCGGCCGGCGGGTTTCGCATTATGCCGCAGCCCCGCCTCGGATCGTGGATCCGCACGCGCGGTTACGCCACTGGTTGGCCGGGCGGCCGGCGCGCTGGCCGGGATGGCCTGGATCCTGGATGTCGCGTCGTTAGCTGGCCGAGCCCCGGCCAGCCTCGCACGGCGCTCGCGCGGCAGGCGCAGCATCCGCCACATTTGTCTCAAACTTCCGCGCCAAATTCAGAGCGCCGCCGCCCCGCCGGCTATCTCCTTATGGACCACCTTTACGTGCTTCCTGCTCGGCTCGGCACGAGGCGGCGTTCACTTGGCGGTGCGCGGCCACAGGCAGCCACAGGCAGCCACGGCGCGGTCGGCGCGTTCAAGGCCACGCACTTTCCTCGCCCCGTCCTTGGAATGCCTGCCGAAAATAATGCGCCACGCTGTCTGCCTCGCTCTCCCGCGGCGTCCCGCAAGAGTGCGAGGAAGACGGAGCGACGAAAACGGCTCTCGCGATCGGTCTGCAGGGGCCGTCCTCCAACGCCGTGATCGGGTTTTGAACCCGGATTCCCCGTCGCAAACACCCTTGGAACACCCAACTCCGCCACAGCAGGCCCTTGGGTAATTTAACGAGTGCTCCCACAGCTTCTTTTCGCGCCCATTTTGTTTCTTTCAGAAACGTTACACAGCGCGACGCAGTGTGCTTGGACATTGCGCGAGCGAAGGACCTTTCCCGTGTTTTCCACCGCTGTGCGCGCCGCCGTCGCTCTCAGTCACCCAGCCCTAGCCGGCCCCAGCCCTTTGCGACTTGCCGCACAGTGGGCCAGAAGACCGATGGAGGCGGACAAAACTCTAGATGTGCTTTGAGCTCCAGAGTCGCTAAACAGGACTCGAACCGAACGTGTGACCCCACCAATGGATTTCCTGTTCGGAGAAGAGTAATCCATTGGTGGGGTCACACGTTCGATTCTAGTGCCATTTAGCGACTCTGGAGCTCAAAACGCGTCTAGAGTTTTGTCCGCCTCCTCCGGTCTTCTGGCCCACTGTGTGCCGCTCGCCGCGCACAACGCCCCTTGCAAGTCAGTACTGCGTCGCGGCCGCCACGCCGTCGCGGCTCTAATCGGCCAGCAGTCGCGTCGCTCCGTCTCTCTCGCACTCGCGCGGGACGCCCGAGAGTGTGAGAGAGACGGAGCGACGTTCGGCACCGGCCTGCAGCAGGCTGGCGCGAGTTTCAGCACGCCTCTCGTGCGCGATAGAACGCCGCGCCGCCTAGGTGCGACGGAGTCGGAGTCAGACGGAGTGCGACGCAGTCGTAAAGACCGAGCGCACAATCTCTGCCTTTTTCCACGACGACGTCGGCGACGGCGACGCGGTGACGCACGCAGACCTACTTCGCTGATTTGCTCAGGACAAAGGTCTATCGGCGCGGCGAGCGGCTTGGCCTGCTGAGCATGGCGCTGCTCTCCTCCTTGACCCATATCATTTCGAGGTGTGCGTGCGCGTGCCGCGTGCGCCCCGCGAGGATCCGGTCAGGAAATTCGCCGCGATCCTGGAGCATGCTGCTGCAGCAGTCCGGGCGGCGGTGGCGGTGCGCTGGTGGGTGGCCGGAGTCCGTCTGGAGTCCGTCTGGACGCCGCCTGGAATCCGCGGCTGGAGTCTGCGCGGCCACGGTGTC